TTTCTTCTTCTTCTTCTTCTTCTTCTTCTTCTTCTCCTCCTCCTCCTCCTCCTCCTCCTCCTTCTTCTTCTTCTTCTTCTTCTTCTTCTTCTTCTTCTTCTTCTTCTTCTTCTTCTTCTTCTTCTTCTTCTTCTTCTTCTTCTTCTTCTTCTTCTTCTTCTTCTTCTTCTTCTTCTTCTTCCTCCTATTACTATTACTATTACCTATGGCACCCTGACCAATTGACAGCCACCCAGCCTCTACCTGACCCAATTCGGCTGTGATCTCAAATCAAAAAGGAAGTTTTCTAATCACCTTGGGGTCTCCTTTCCTTGATTTTTCTTCACGATGAGGCCATCCTTCCTTCTGGGTCTCCAAAATGTGCCTTAACAATGTGGATTTTGGGATACCTTTCCCTTCAAACCTCAGGTGGGGTGAAAAGCTTAGATTGACCCCCCTCTGACAAGAAGGTGACAGGCTGTGTGACATAGTGGGGTCCTTGGAGGTCACTTAGCTGTGCCGGCTGAGGAATTCTGGGAGATGAAGTCCACAAGTCCTAAAAGGGCCAAGTTGGAAGACCTCTGCTTGTGGACTTCAGCTCCCAGAATTCCTCAGCCAGGTACGCTGGCTGAGGAATTCTGGGAGTTGAAGTCCACAAGTCCTAAAAGGGCCAAATTTGAAGGCCCCTGAACTAGACCTTCAAACATTGAGTGAGAAGGACCCCAGCCAGCAGAATTCTGGGAGTTGAAGTCCACAGATGTTGGCTGTGGTATTCTGGGAGTTGAAGCCCACCCCTCTTCAAGCTGCCAGTGTTGAGAAACCCTGATCTAATGGGTGCCTTTGCAGGTCAGACGGCCCTCCACATTGCCATCGAGAGACGCAACATGTACCTGGTCAACCTCTTGGTCAAGAACGGGGCGGACGTCCACGCGAGAGCCCACGGGGAATTCTTCCAGAAGATCAAGGGGAAGCCGGGATTTTATTTCGGTAAGGTCGGGGGCCAAGTTTGGAATTCTTGTGCCTTGTCCCAAAACAACCCTTAATTTGCCTTGAAGAGACTATGATTGATGCCTCTGTTCTGATCAGCCTGATCTGAGGCAGTTGGGAACAGTTGGGTTGGTCTAGATGACCTCTGAGGTCCCTTCCAGCCCTGTGATTCTATGTTCTAAAGGGACTCCCGCGCTGCTCTCCCAGACTTCCTCCATTCCATCCTTCCTTCCTTCCTCCCTTCCTTCCTCCCTCCCTCCCTCCTTCCTTCCTTCCTCTCTCTGTCTCTCTCCCTCCCTTCCTTTCTCCCTCCCTCCCTCTTCCCTTCCTTCCTTTTTTCTCTCTCTCCCTCCTTTCTTCCTTCCTTCCTTCCTCCCACACTCCTTCCTTCCTTCCTTTCTCCCTCCCTCNCGTGCTGTAACCCGGCCTGAAGCCCGACTGGAGAGGGTCTAGATAGACTGTTTCCTCCAGGTGCCGAGGAAACTGCTGTGCAACCACACTCTCAACAACCTTCGCCACAAAGCGAAGGTTGGAGACTGGACGATAGTTGGCCAATACATCTGGGTTCAGGGAAGGCTTCTTAAGGAGGGGCCTCACCACCGCCTCTTTATGCACATAGAAGCATATAGAAGCATTAAAAACAAAAATAAAGGCATAACATGCACATAGAAGCGTAGAATTCACCTGGAAGCATTAAAAGCACACATAAAGGCATAACATGCACATAGAATCATAAAGCACACGGCTGCCTTAAAAATGCACATAAAGGCATAAGATGCACATAGAAGCGTAAAATGCACATGGCAGCATTAAAAGCACACATGAAGACACAAAAACCTACAAAAAAGGTGTAAAACCAGCCCATAAAAAAAACTGCTGGACCTCGGACGGTCTTGTGGGCCACCATCTTGACTTTTTTGACCTCATCCCTGTTTCTCCTGTCCCGTTTCTCGATTCTCAGAGCCCGACACTGGCAAGACCTGCCTGCTGAAGGCCATGCTCAACCTCCACAACGGCCGCAACGACACCATCCCTGTCTTGCTGGAGATTGCGGAGAAGACGGAGAACCTGAAGGAGTTTGTGAACACCGGATACACAGACAGCTATTACCGGGGTAAAGACGGGGATGGAGGAGAGCAGTTCCTCAGGGTTTCTAATGCTTTGGGAGCTGTAGCACAGGAGGGAGGACGGGGACCTTAAAGGTCATCAAGTCCAACCCCCGACATCACTGCGGTAGAAGGTACCCCTCCAGGTACAGGCATAATGCAGCCTGCCCATCGTGCTCGTAACATGTGACGGTCGTAAACCGGGTCACCGGGTTTTGGAATGGTCATCAATTGGGTCACCCCACGACCGATTTTTGTTGTCAGTCGTTAAGCGAGAGCTAGGGTCGTTAAGAGAACCAGCAGGGCCTGATTTTTGCTGAAAAGAGGAAGCAAAACTCATCAAATGTGGTCACGTGACCATGGAACGCTACAAATGGGGGGGGGGCGCGGCCGTCGGGATTTTGAATCTGGGTGGTACGTATTCCCAGGGGGGTCCATTGCAACTTCAAATAGTCATTAAGTGATTGGGCGTAAGTCGAGGACTGCCTGTTAGATACACCTACCTCAAGAAGCGGTGAATGCTCCGACATTGGAAGTTTTTAAGAAGAGGCTGGACAGCCACTTGTCTGAAATGAGTATAGGGTTTCCTGCCTGAGCAGGGGGTTGGACTAGATGACCTCCAAGGTCCCTTCCAACTCTGTTGTAGTTGTTGTAGTTGTAGTAGTAGTAGTAGTAGTAGTAGAAGTAATAATAATAATAATAATGATAAAGTTGGAAGGGACCTTGAAGGTCATCTAGTCCAACCCCCTGCTCAGGCAGGAAACCCTATACCATTTTGGACAAATGGCTGTCCAGTTTCTTCTTAAAAACTTCCAGTGTTGGCACATTCACCGCCTCTGGAGGCAGGTTGTTCCACTGGTCAATTGTTCTAACTGTCAGGAAGTTTCTCCTAGAACTAAGGAGAAACTTCGTGACAGTTAGAACAATTGACCAGTGGTAGTAGTAGTAGTAGTAGTAGTAGTAGTAGTAGTAGTTCTTCTTCTTCTTCTTCTTCTTCTTCTTCTTCTTCTTCTTCTTCTTCTTCTTCTTCTTCTTCTTCTTCTTCTTCTTCTTCTTCTTCTCCTCCTCCTCCTCCTCCTCCTCCTCCTCCTCCTCCTCCTCCTCCTTCTTCTTCTTCNAGCTTAGAATGAAAGTCCCTGAAGCTCAGCCAACATCTGCTATCTTGAAACGGAAACCGGCTCTCAATAACATTCAGACAGACCCGTGTAAGTGCTTACACCTAGTATAGACGTTCCTTCTGTTGAAATCGCGATTCCGCCCGTTATTTCCCCCTCCCTCTCTCCCTGCTGGTTTTCGGCCTGCAGGAGAGCTGCCCCTGTCTCTAGCCGCCTGCACCAACCAGCTGAACATCGTCAAGTACCTGCTGGAGAACCCCTACCAGCCGGCCAACATCGCCGAGCAGGACTCCATGGGCAACACCGTCCTTCACGCCCTGGTGGAGATCGCCGACAACACGGCCGACAACACCAAATTTGTCACCCGCATGTACAACGACATGCTCATCCTGGGGGCCAGGATCAACCCCACCCTGCGGCTGGAGGAAGTCGCCAACCGCAGAGGGCTGACCCCGCTCACCCTGGCAGCCAAGATGGGGAAGATACAGGTAGTCCTCGACTTACGACCATTCCTTTTAGCGACTGTTCGAAGTTACAACGGCACTGAAAAAAAGTGACTTGCGACTGTATCGCAGCATCCCCATTGGTCAAGCGACCGAAGTTCAGCCACTTGGCAACTGACTCATATGTAGAATAGAATGGAATGGAATAGAAAATAGACTAGAATAGAATAGAATAGAAAATAGAATAGAAAATAGAATAGAATAGAATAGAATAGAATAGAATAGAATAGAATAGAATAGAATAGAATGGAATGGAATAGAAAATAGAATAGAATAGAATAGAATAGAATAGAATAGAAAATAGAATAGAAAATAGAATAGAATAGAATAGAATAGAAAATAGAATAGAAAATGGAATAGAAAATAATAGAATAGAATAGAATAGAATAGAATAGAGAATAGAACAGAATAGAAAATAGAATAGAAAAGAATAGAATAGAATAGAAAATAGAATAGAAAATGGAATAGAAAATAGAATAGAAAATGGAATAGAAAATAGAATAGAATAGAAAATGGAATAGAAAATAGAATAGAATAGAGAATAGAAAATAGAATAGAATAGAATAGAATAGAAAATAGAATAGAAAATAGAATAGAAAAGAATAGAATAGAATAGAAAATAGAATAGAAAATGGAATAGAAAATAGAATAGAAAATGGAATAGAAAATAATAGAATAGAATAGAAAATGGAATAGAAAATAGAATAGAATAGAATAGAGAATAGAAAATAGAATAGAATGGAATGCAATAGAATAGAATAACAACAACAACAACAACAACAATAATAAAGTTGGAAGGGACCTTGGAGGTCATCAAGTCCAACCTCCTGCTCAGGCAGGAAACCTTATACCATTTCAGACAAATGGCTGTCTGAATGAAACCCAAATTTTTCTTTTGCTAAGCAAGACAGTTATTTAGTGAGTTTGGCCCCGTTTTACGACCTTCCTTGCCACGGTTGTTAAGTGAATCATTGCGGTTAAGTTAGGAACACGGCTGGTAAGTAAATCTGGCTTCTTTCCCCCTGACTTTGTCAGAAGGTCGCAAAAGGGGATCACGTGACCCTGGGACACTGCGACCGTCATAAATATGAATCAGTTGCCAGTTGCCAAGTGGCTGAATTTGGATCACCTGGGGAAGCCGCAACGGTCGTAAGTGTGAAAAAGAGCCATAGGTCACTTTTCTCAGTGCTATTTTAACTTTGAACTTTGAACCTTTAGATTATATGATGATGATGATGATGATGATGATGATGATGATGATGATGATGATAATAATAATAATAATAATAATAATAATAATAATAATAATAATAATAATAATAATAATAATAATAATAATAATAATAATAATAATTAATAATAATAGAGTTGGAAGGGGCCTTGGAGGTCTTCTAGTCCAACCCCCTGCTCAGGCAGGAAATAAAGTCCCAGCTTCAGTCTCCCGCCTCCTCTCTTCCCCTCGGCACCAGGTCTTCGCCTACATTCTCCGGCGGGAGATGAAGGAACCGGAATGCCGTCACCTCTCTCGCAAATTCACCGAGTGGGCCTATGGACCCGTCCACTCCTCGCTTTACGACCTCTCCAGCATCGACACCTGCGAGAAGAACTCCGTCTTGGAGATCATCGCTTACAGCAGCGAAACCCCGGTGAGTCAAACCTTTCGGCACTGGGCACGGTCCCCAGGCGTTAGGGCTGCGACTCCCAGAATCCTGGGAATTCTGGGAATTTGGAAGTCCAACCTCTGGGGAAGGCCCCCCTGGGAAGCTTGGCCGGGGGATCCCGGGATTAGTGGCTGATTCAGGAGGCTCACCTAGTTTCCTTTCCCCTTTATTAGGCCATCATACTTGGAATGATTCAGGTATTCAGAGATTCAGAGATTTGGATTTGGATTTGGATTTGGATGATTCGGATTCGGATTTAGATGATCTAGATTTGGATTTGAATTTGGATGATTTAGATTTAGATTTAGATTTAGATTTAGATTTAGATTTAGATTTAGATTTAGATTTAGATTTGGATTTGGATTTGGATTTGAATTTGGATGATTTAGATTTGAATTTGGATTTGGATTTGGATTTGAATTTAGATTTAGATTTGGATTTGGATGATTTAGATTTAGATTTGGATTTGGATGATTTAGATTTAGATTTAGATTTAGATTTGGATTTGGATTTGAATTTGGATGATTTAGATTTAGATTTGGATTTGGATTTGAATTTAGATTTAGATTTAGATTTGAATTTGAATTTGGATGACTTAGATTTAGATTTATTTAGATTTAGATTTAGATTTAGATTTAGATTTAGATTTAGATTTGGATTTGGATTTGGATTTGGATTTGGATTTGGATTTGGATTTGAATTTAGATTTAGATTTGGATGATTTAGATTTAGATTTGGATTTGAATTTGGATGATTTAGATTTAGATTTAGATTTGGATTTGGATGATTTAGATTTGGATTTGGATTTAGATTTGGATGATTTAGATTTGGATTTGGATTTGAATTTGGATGATTTAGATTTGGATTTGGCTTTGGATGATTTAGATTTGGATTTGGCTTTGGATGATTTAGATTTGGATTTGGATTTGAATTTAGATTTTAGATTTAGATTTTATTAAATTTATACCCCGCCCTTCTCCCGGAGGACTCAGGGCGGCTTACAGCCAGTTTAAAACAATGATATAATACAATACAAACTTTAAAAAAGATTAAAAATAACTATTTAAATTTGGCCGCTTCTACTAAAAATTTAATTTAAAACCCCTTTAAAATACCCCTAGGCCAGTC